GTTTGACCATTAGTTTGGGGATGGTATGCTGTCGATTTATGTAGTAAGACCCCTGTAATGGAAATAACTCTTGCCAAAAAGAACTCAAGAAAATGGGATCCCTGTCACTTACTATAGAAGCTGGCATACCTTGCAATCTGAAAACATTGTCCAAAAAACACTGAGCTACAGATTCAGCAGTATAAGGATGTGCAATAGCAATGAAGTGACCAGACTTACTGAATCTGTCCACCACTACTAAAATGACATCCTTCCCTTTGGACTTAGGAAGACCTTCAATGAAATCGAGACTGATATCAACCCATACACCATCAGGAACAGGTAATGGTTGAATTAGTCCAGGGTAAGCTGATGTATCATACTTGTGCCTTTGACAAATATCACATTTCTGAATAAAATTCTGAATGTCAGCTGCCAATGACTTCCAGTAGAAGAGGGATTGTAGCCTCTTAATAGTTGCATCCATACCTGCATGACCACCTTGTGGTGTTGAATGCCACAACTGAATTATGGTTTGTCTTAACTGCAAATTAGACCCTACTACTAGCCTGCCTTTCCACCTTAGTTGAGAACCAATCCAGGTATAGAATTTATAAGGCTTTGCTTGTAACTTAAGAATAGCAGCTTGCAACTCAGCATCAGATGTCCATGTTAGGCTAATTCTCTCCAAAAGTGTATCATTAGGAGTCAAGAGTGAAACAGCCAACAACTCAGCACTTTGATTTCTTGACAAGGCATCAGCAGCCTTATTGTCAGTCCCTTTCTTGAACTCAATAGTAAAATCAAAGGCCATCAATTTAGAAATACCAGCAACTTGAAAATCAGTATGAATACTTTGTTCCAGGAGATGTTTTAGTGTCTTTTGATCAGTTTTCACAATGAAATGTCGTCCTAATAGGTAATGAGACCACTTAGTAACTGCAAATATGATGGCTAATAGCTCTCTATCATACACACACATAGCCTGATGTCGAGGTGCCAATGACTTACTGATATAGGCAATTGGATCCCCTTGCTGCATCAAGACAACACCAATTTCTGAACCACTTGCATCAGTCTCAATTATGAATGGTTTATCATAGTCTGGTAATGCTAAGACAGGTGCAGTCACTAGTGCATTTTTGAGAACATGAAAAGCTGTAGTAGCACCCTCATTCCACACAAACTTATCCTTCTTTAATAATTCAGTGAGAGGTTTAGCAATGGATCCAAAATTCAGAATGAACCTCTTATAATATCCTGTTAAACCAAGAAACCCTCTCAGTTGTTTGATATTTGTAGGGACAGACCAAGCCTGTACTGCAGAAATCTTCTTAGGATCAGTGGCTACCCCTTTAGCACTGATGAAATGACCTAGGTACTCTACCTCAGGTACCCCAAAAGCACACTTAGAACCTTTGGCAAACAGCTTGTAAATGGTTCACATGGGCTGACATATCCATGCTGTACACCAATGTATCATAAAAAAAACCAGTACTGACCTCCTTAGGAGTGGTTTAAATACAGCATTCATAAGACTCTGAAATGAAGAACGTGCATTTGTAAGACCAAATGGCATAACCAGAAATTCATAATGTCCTTCATGAGTTTTAAAAGTTGTTTTATAGATATCTGTTTCCTTCATCCTTAATTGGTGGTAACCAGCTCTAAGATCAATCTTAGAGAACGTTTCAGCTCCTCCTAGTTCATCTAACAAATCCTCAATGATAGAAATAGGAAACTTGTCCTTTATTGTCAGTTTGTTGAGATCTCTATAGTCTACACAAAGCCTCCAACTCCCGTCTTTCTTCCCAACAAGGATTACAGGTGAGGCATAGGGACTAGAACTAGGTTGTATCACACCTTGATCTAACATTTCCTGTACTAGCTTCTCAATAATATCTTTCTTCATTCCAGGATATCTATAAGGCCTTTTGTTAACAGGAGTAGCTGAGCCAATGAGTGGTATTTTGTGATCAAAGATGCCTCTATGAGGAGGCAATGAACTAGGCATATCAAAGAGGCACTTGCATTGTTCCATTAAAACAGTTAATGTAGGATGAATATCAGTACCTTGAGTTACTTGTATACTGTTGCATTGCCTATCAGAGGTTGCATCTGTCACCAAGGTTAGCATAAAGACCTGAACTAAATCAACACTCTTTTTATCTAAGGATTGGGCCTTGGTGGTCTTGATCTGGCTACTGGCTCCCCTTAAAACATGTTTCCTCCCCAGATGCACAAACTCAGTAGTTCTATTTCTGAAATCAAACAAAATCCTACCCAAAGTATTTAACCATTGCACACCCAACACTATGTCAACATTCCCTAATGGTAGTAGTAGGAAATCAAAAGAAAAAGTTGTACCCTGCAGTAACCACTTCAGATTTTTACACACTACAACAGTTTGAACCTTCCTACCATCAGCCACACTAACTGATTGCTCATGTATAGGCAAAGCTTTACAACCTAACTTCCTTGCCATTGACTCATCAATGAAATTATAAGTACTACCTGTATCAATAAGCACATGTAAGGGTTGTTTTTCATGGTATCCAGTTACTCTAATTGTTTGATACCCTGTACCTCCAGTAAATGCTTGTAAGGAAATTGTCATGCACTCATCCACTTCTAACACTTCTTCCTCCATGATTACCTCCCCATCCTCCAGAACTTCAACCAAATATAACTGTTTCTTGGATTTACAAACATGCCCGGCATATACTTCTCGTCACACAAGAAGCACAGTCTTTTAGCCCTTTTCTCATCCATCTCAGCAGCAGTCAATAATCTTCTACCAGTATTACCATTACTGAACCTGTTAGCATTAGGTTCATAAGGTTTCTTGACAGCTGTGCTAGAGAAAGTAGGTTTTTGTACACTCTGAAACCTAGATGGAGTAGGGAGAAGACCATTCTGATTCCTGTTATTTCTAATTCCCCAAGACTTAGCCTGAGCATCAAAAACCTCTTCCTGCAACTTAGCTAACTTGTAGGCTTGCATTAAGGTTTTGGGTGCTTGCATTCTAACAACCTTGTTGAGCTCAGTTTTTAACCCTCCCAGAAAACAACTGATAGCATTTTCGTTTGACAAATTAACCCCATTCAATAACCTATCAAACTCAGCCTGATATGTTCTAACATCCTCAGTTTGTTGTAGATTTTTAAGTGCTTCCATGGAATCTTCAAATTCTTCCCCAAATCTTTCATTAACAGCCAACACATACTCAGACCAAGAAGGGTCTATAACTGAGTTCCTAGACTTCAAGTATGATCTATGCCAAGCAATAGCTTCACCATCCAAATGGATAGAAGCTACTCTCACCCTCTGATCATATGGAACTTCATCCATGGCAAAAAACTGATCCACCTTATATAACCATGCCCTCAAATCCGACCCCAAAAATCTAGGAAAATCAAGTTTAGAACATCGGGTAAGAAATTTACCATTAGAATTTTGGAAATTCCCAGCTGCATTGCAAAACCCCTGTTCTCTGTCTCCACCCACAGATGATTCAGCTCTATTCTGATCCATCTCCTTGTCCTTCTGTTTCGCATTTCCTAGGGCTTGCTTATCTCCATTAATTCCTTATCTGTCTGTACATTTCTATTATTGATATTCACCATACCTTCCATAAACTTCTGCAATTGTTCCTGTATCCGAGACAATTTGCCCTCCATTTCCTCTGAAGATTTGTATTGATTTTTTTCCCGAGCAACCATGATTTTTAGCCGAGGACCAGCTGCTCTGATACCAATTGATCCAATTAACAGTAATCGAAAGGATAATATCAACTAGGAGGCTGAACCTCGAAGAAGAAGATAACTATATCAGAGCAATTCCGAGATAGAAGCTAAGAAGAACAGAGTAAAAGAGAGAGAAGAAGAATTATCATATATCATTTCCTGCCTTAACAATTGTATTACATCTGTATTTATAGAGTTGAATTGAAAGCTAAAGCTACAATCTACTGAAATAACTGCTTCTAACAACTCTAACAAACAATGAACAGTGATAACTGTTTTTGTGACTAATAAACAGTAGTAACTACTTTTTAATATTCCTAATCATCTACGCTCATCTACGCATTGTATCACCATGTTTCTTTAACAAGTGCATATTTAGGAGTACAACCTGTTGTTGGTTTCCACCATTCCATATTAAAATTACAAGACTTCCAACGCCACTGCTCATTAATGGTTTGTTCTGCCATGTTTCTGTTTGGGAACTCAAACAAAAACTTGTCATCATTCAGTTCGTAAATGTTGATTCCAAAGGCTTTCTTCCAATTAGTTGATGACCATCTTCTTATGTCTGCTAAAGTTGTCCTCTCCTTGGGCTTCTCACTGCAATACCCAACTAAGCATCTAGATAACAGATCACCCTCCTGGGTACTTATTTTGTCTAGAACTTCCACCTTACCCATAATGCTTTTGACCTCTGCACTGCGTAGGTTCCTGGATTGCCATTTACTATATCGTATAGCATTAGCATATGGATAATCAGCAACCACCCTTGTACTGGGTATTTTCTCCTTTCCCTTCTTGCATTTAATGAATCTATCAATCTTCAATGCAACATCCAACCACCCCGCATTCGATGCCAACTTAGGAATAATTAAGCCTGACCTTCCCCCTCTATATATTGTTATGATGCTTATGAACCTCCCATGTATATTATGTTTTCTCGTGCAAAAATGCACTGCCTCTTTCTCAGCTAATTTCCACCTCCTTGTCTCCTTCTTTTTCTCTTTGGATTCTTCTCTTAGACAGAGACAGATCCATTCCAACACCTTTCTACTCATGGACGATCTGTGCATCATCCTTCTGCTTCTCTCTACCCATTCGTACCATTCAGCTTTCTCAGTTTCCCATCTGGTGATATCAAAAGACTTGAAACCAGCATGAAATAGATTCGATTTTCCTCCATCCTACTAGTGGGTGATTTATCAATAATCACAGTGGGTGATTATTGTTGGCTATTAAAAAAAAGGCTGATTCCAGTGGAGGATGCTGGAAAAGATGGGTTCCTCTCTCCTAAGAAGTATGAGAGAGAAAGAGCATTGGGAACTGTGTCTGGGAGTGTTTTTGGTGAGTATCAACAAATTGTGTATCAGAAATTTAAGTTTTGTTCTACTTTTTTCCTTTTCCCAGCCCCGTCCAAGCTGTTGCTGATTCATGCCGCACTGGTGCTGCCACCAATGTCATCTTTGGCCTTGCCTTGGGTTACAAATCCGTCATCATTCCCAGTTTTGACATTAGAATCAGTATGTTTGTTAGCTTCAGCTTTGCTGCAATGTACGGCATTATAGTTGCTGCCCTTGGAATGCTGAGCACTATAGCCACTGGTTTGGTAATTAATGCATATGGTCCCATTAGTGATAATGCAGGAGGTATTGCTGAGATGGCTGGAATGAGCCACAGAATCAGAGAGAGAACTGATGCACTTGATGCTGCAGGAAACACCACTGCTGCTATTGGAAAGGTAAATTAAATTCACTTCTACCCTACACTAAGCAATGAGAGGTTTAGTTGGAAGTCACTATATTACCTTATGATTGACAAACTTCTTTTGTACCTGTAACGATGACAGGGATTTGCTATTGGTTCTGCCGCACTTGTGTCTCTGGCCCTCTTTGGGCCGTTTGTCAGCCGCGCAGCAATTTCCACTGTAGATGTCTTGACACCTAAAGTCTTTATTGGTTTGCTAGTCGGTGCAATGCTTCCTTATTGGTTCTCCGCCATGACAATGAAGAGTGTTGGAGGCGCTGCTCTTAAGATGGTTGAGGACGTGCACAGGCAATTCAACACCATCTCTGGTCTCATGGAAGGAACTGCCAAGCCTGACTATGCCACCTGTGTCAAGATCTCCACAGATGCATCAATCAAGGAGATGATTCCACCTGGTGCTCTTGTCATGCTCACTCCATTGATTGTTGGGATCTTGTTTGGCATCGAAACACTTTCTGGTGTTCTTGGAGTATCTCTCATCTCTGGTGTACAGGTAAGAAAACATATAGAAGATTGTGAATGTGTTTTTAAATAACTTCAAATGGTCTGAATCTCTAATCCTGGATGAACTTTGTTTCCGTAGATTGCCATTTCTGCATCCAATGCCAGTGGTGCCTGGGACAACGCTAAGAAGTAAATCGAGGTAAGGTATTTCTTTTGGACCTTTCACTTTCAACTCTAATAATATGTGTTGTTTATGAATGATAGGCTGGAGCCTCAGAACATGCAAGGACTCTTGTCCCCAAGGGATCTGATGCACTCATGACTGTATCATGAATCTATTGTTCCTCTATTCTCTTCCCCCGTATTTCACATTCAAACTTCCTTTCAAGCAATTTTTCGTGTTTTTAGTATCTAGAATATGGGGATTAGCATATGGTGTTAGGCTGTGGAGGGAGATTATTCACGAGAATGCGCGTTGTGATGATGGTAAGGGTGAAGTGATTTTGCAGAGTTCAGAAGAAACATCAAATGTTCTTTCCTAGAGTAATTGTATCAGTTTTTTTTTTTCTCTTAATACCTTCTTGTTATTGTCCTTTTTGGGTGTTCCATTTTTGAAGACTTGCTAAGCTTTATGTGCATTTGTCTTTTCTTTCTCCATTATTATCTATACATTACTCCTCTTTTCATTTTAAATTCAAGAATACGATTAATTGATCTGTGCACCTGTCTATCTTTCGAAAATTAGGTCATAATTAAAGATACTGCTATGTATAATCGATCCAAGCAAAGTTCAGATTCTGATATATGATAAGAGTGATTCTGGTTCATATTTAATACAAACATGTTCTCCATTATTTTAAATTTATTTTCACTCAATTGAAAAAAAAAAATCCTATTATTTCTGAAAAAAAGCTAAAGAAATAGAGATCAACTTATCAAATAGTGGCAGTCCACTCTGTCCAGCCCAATTAGAAACAAATTATAATTTTGGGAATTCGAGTTATCAATGACTTTTTAATGGACTTGACTAGAAGGAACCTGTGTAGTGTGGGGAGCAATTGTAGTTTTTTTTAAAAAAAATTGGTTTCTTATTAGTTGTTTAGTATCTGCATTAGAGTTTAGTTACTCCGGATCCATTTATTGCAGGGGTATCCGCATTAGAGCTTAATTACTCTGTATCCACACAGAGGTGTATTCAGAATTTCAAAAGAATGTGTGCACTATCACGAAAAGATGCATCTAAGATATAAATTTGATTGGTTTTGACCTTTACGTTCTTAACACTGAAATGTTAACTTTTAAAAATTACAAATCCAACATAAATAATACTACTAGTTATAATTTTAATATACACATTTGATTTAGGGGCTAATTTTTTTTTAGGAATTTCCAATGTTACACTTGAAAATTTTGAAAGATTAAAGCAAAAAAACAAAAGAAAACTTGATTGAAATGCCAAAAGTGTTGCCGATAACCACTTGGAGGGGTGTTACTAACAAAAATAAGATATATATAAGATTTAAATTTCTATCTTTGTTTAGAGAGGTGCACCCAATCATCATCATATTATTATATGCTACTTTTAACATGGGTTCACACCTCTATATTTAAATATATATATTTTTTAAATATTAACACTACTATATATAATCTAGAGAGGGAAATATTGGTTCACGTGAACCGATTGAACCCCCTCTAGATACGCCTTTGGATCCACATATTGCAGGGTCTATTTTGTAGACGGTGCTACCAACATGATTTTTTAAAATATTCAGAATTCAAACTCGAGAACTGTGATTAAGACGGAGGAGTTTCAACCATCTAGTCAGATTAGTCTAAATTGATCACAACATTTTTTTACCATTTCTAACCATTATTTTAAACAGTTTTAGCTAGTTTTGTTGAGACTTTAGTAAATGCCTCTATTTTGTGGTGTTTTTTATTGTATGAATAAGAAGGCCACCGTTTTGATAGGAAAAAAAAAGTTTCAATACATGGACTATCTCTTAAATCGATAGGTGAATTTTATTTATACATTCAATGTTTTACTAGTTTTAATTAAACACGTGATAAAGTGTCTTTATTAGATATTTTTGGCTCAATTTTTATAAGAATTTTTGTGTGTATTATTTTGTGCCTATTATACAGATACATTAATCACTTAAAATATGTCACCTCTTTTAATTATATATATATTGACCTCAATAAATAGTAAAACCTCACATATATTTTATTATATTAACTTAACTACCTAATAGATGCTAGAGAACGCCCACAAACGTTTTTTCTAAAATTGTAAATCAAAAATGTCTAATAAGAACACTTTTATCATCTCTTTCATTTTTGACATAACATATAGCCTACCCTATCTCTAATATCCCTATTCCCTCTTAATTAAATTAAGACATAAATTTGATGTCAAGTTATAGACATTAATAATGCAGTTTTTTTTAAATAAAAAAATGTATCAGTAAATATTACAATAACGAACCATAACATACCTAATATTTGGGGTTTAAAAAAATAATATATATATATATATATAAATTAGTTTAAAAAGATCCCTATCTCAAATAACACATAACACAACAATTTGAAACAAGAATACAATAATAAATATGACATATCAACTTAGTCATAGCAAATAATAGAAAAAAACGTAACATGTCATTTAGAACAAACTAAATTATCTGCAAATATCATTTTGTGATAATAGGAAAGATTTTTTTTTTAAAAAAATAATATTAAATATCAATTTATATTTATTAAACAAATTTCTTGTAATTAACTAAGACTATGTGACTTGATCATGTACATTTTTTACACTGTTAATGCATATAACTTAAATTCATTCTAACCTTCTTTTTAGTTCATATCAATATAGATTATAATAGCATAACTAGATTTTTCTCTCTTTTATTAAATATTTCAAATTTATATCTTGAAAATGGAAAAAAAATTCTTTTGAAAGCATTACTTTCAAAAATGAATCCTATAATCAGTAGATTCAAATTAATTTGACTTCAATCCACCTATCCAATACCGAATGAGAATATTTATTTTTTAAAAAAAATAAAAATTTATCACCCAACTGATTATGATATCATGCCTACATTCATCTTATAAAGACCAAAAATTTCATAATGAAATTTAATATTCACACCAACCAATATTGACTTTTCAAACTACTTATCTCTTTCTTCAATTTTTTATTTTTCATTTCATACTTATATAAAGTCAAAACTTGATCAACCCACTAAAGATAGATTTACATGTAATTAATTAAATGCTAACACGTGCACTAAACAAGCTAAAAACTACTACAAGATTGTAATTAATAAAGTTTGAAAAATAGTATTTCTCAAAAGTTTGGCAAAGGGTTCACTAAGGGTGTGAACGGAGGAAGGAAAGTTTCTTATATTTTTGTATGTTTGGTATATGTAAGAAAAAAATATTATATATAATAATTATACATATTCTAACAGATTTTTTTAAATAAATATAAAATTTTAATAAAAAATTAATGAATTTTGCTGAATTAGTTAAGAGACTGAGATCAATGTAGGATACCACCATAACCTTTTAATTATGTAGTAGAAACATAGTTTATTTTCAAAATATATGTTATTTCATGCACCATTGAAATCGTGACACGTGCCAATTTGATGGTGGAGCCAAGCTTTGTATCAAGGAATCAAAATATGAAGAAGTAAACATAAAAAAAAAATGAAAATCGAAGGAGATTCAACATATGTATTATATATATATATATATATATATATATATATAATAATTATTATAACTATATATAAATAATAATGTAATTTTCCATCTAAGAAGATTCGGATAAAACTCCTTCGCTTTTACCTACCTCCGCATCTACGTGTCATCAATTTTACCCCTAATTCATCACTAAATAACTCGTATGCAATTATATTTCATATAATATGTCGCTATTTTTTACTAATTAGCTACGAAATTTAATTTCTTATTTTCTTGTAGTAAAAGTCAACAAAGCACCGTTCAATTTGTTAAATTCTAGTTCAAGAAGAATTTAGAGAGAAAAAAATGGTGAAATTAAACACACGCACAAACCATATTATATAAATGGTGTGTCTTAGCTACACTATGAAAAGGTTGATTGTGTGGAAAGTTGATTGCCAAGGAATAATTTCCTTGTGATGTGTTATAATTTAAATAAAATAAATTGATCATATAGTATCTCATATGTTATATTTTATTATTGATCTCTGAGTGAAATGATTGTACAACTAACATAACATTTAGGAAAAAACTTAAATATGTCATTGAACTTTGAGAAAAGACTTATTTATGTTATCTTTGGCTCGTCTATGTCATTTTCTTATGAGAAAAAGGCGCATCCATGCCATTATTGATTAACGGTAAACAATTCGATTTTACAAAATTATTTTTTACACGTGGTCAATTATGATTCGGCCACATCATTAAATAAATTATAGTTTTAAAGAAAAATGGCTCAAATATGTCATAGAGCTTTTAGAAAAGGCTCATTTATGTCATCCGTTAAAAATTTGATTCATCTATACCATTTCAGTTAACAAATAATGAGATGAATGAACTTTTTCTCAAATGAAAATGACATAGATGAACCAAATTTTTAACGAATAATATAAATGAGCATTTTCTCAAAGTTCATTGACATATTCAAGCCTTTTCCTTAACATTTATAATGAATGAGTTTTTAGCATTTATACATACCTCCAACTTTTAATATGAATCTCTAAAATTTTATATAAAATAAACTTGGAGGAAGCAACTAGAGAGGGAGGGGGGGGGGGGGGGGGTCAATGCTTACAATGAAATATTAACATTTTTACTTTTTAGTTAGGAAGATTTAGAAGCAACTTAGAAATAATTAACCAAAAATATAAAGAATTTGCAACCTGATTATCACATAATTAACCAAAAATATAAACAATGCAATTTTGCCAATTATTTTCTCAACAAACACAGACACACAAACATCTTTAAAAATGAATAGCTTATTTGGCCAATATTTCAAAAAATGCTTATTTCGAAGGGAAAAGAAATGTTTTTCGAAATACAAAATAGCTTCCACTACTATTCAAAAGCACTACCCCCCCCCCCCCCCAACCACCTCTAAATATTTGGTCAAGTATGTCATCTCACTAAAATAAGCATTTTATCTGT